GATACCGTGTGTCGTTGTGTTGTTGTGTGTGTGTGTGTGTGTGTGTGTGTGTGTGTGTGTGTGTGTGTGTGGTGTGTGTGTGTGTGTGTGTGTGTGTGTGTGTGTGTGGTGTGGTGTGTGTGTGTGTTGGTGTGTGTGTTTGTGTGCGATGTGTGTTGTGCGTGTGCGTGTGCGTATGCATGTGCGTATGCGTGTGCGTGTACGTGTACGCGTGTGCGTGTACGTTTACGTGTGTGTGCGTAAGTGTGTGTGCATGGAACGGAAGGAGAGAAACGAGTAGAGAAATGAGGAGGAAAGGAGAAAGGGCGCGAGGGAGCGGGAGCAAGAGAGACACGGGCGGGCATACATGCGTAATCTCGTCGGGGCGTGTTTACCCGGATCAATCAGATCAGCCGCGATCTTTCAGCAATAATCGAATAGTACAACCAAGGCGCGGCGTCCCTTGGCAGCCCTAACTTTATTATTTCTCTCTCTCTCTCTCTCTCTCTTTCTCCTCTCCCTCTCCTCTCCCTCTCTCTCTCTCTCTCTCTCCTCTCTCTCTCTCCTCTCTCTTCTCTCTCTCTCCTTTATCACCTTATTTCCTCTCTTCCCTCGGTCCTTTCTTCTCCCCCTAACCCTCTCTATCTTCCTCCTCTTCTCTTCCGCAGAAACTGCAGCAGAAGTCCCGCTGCACAACGTCACTTTCTGTTGATATCCAGACAGCTTATTGCCTTCCTTCTCTGAATAAAACATTCATGCAAATTCCGAGTTTTATGCTAAGAGCCTTAAAGCAAAAGAAAAAAAAGGAAATAAAAAAAAAAATCAAATACTTTTATATTCAAATATTCCAAGATGTAAATGAAAACGTAATTACTATTACACTATTCCGTGTGTACACATAACATTACGTGCATCCAATCTATTTGGTTTGGGAAGGTACACACGACTATGGCTTCATTAATGCAGGGCTTTGGGTTCTTGCAGTGTGTTGCTGGTTGCTTCATTTTGTCTTCTTGAAACTATGAATGGCTTTATCTGTTTGTTTCCTGTGCTATCCTTCTCCCTCTATCCCCTGCTATTACTTTATCTTTTTATTCTCCTCCAGTTCGCTAGCTCGCTCGCTCCCTCCCCCTTCTCTTTCTCTTTCTCTCTCTTTCTGTCATTATCTCCCTCTTTATTTATTTATTTCTCTCTCTCTGTCTATCTGTCTTATCTGTCTGTCTGTCTCTCTCTCTCTGTCTCCTGTCTCTCGTCTCTGTCTCTGTCTCTGTCTCTCTCTCTCTCTCTCCCTGTTCAACTTCCTCGAAGCAGTTTTCTAAAGGACAGCTTGGAGAATAATCCCTTTTGTTCGTTAGGGAATATTGCCTTCACGTGGGCATTCCCCTGTAGAAGCCGCGAGCTAGACTATTTTCTCACATAAGCACACGGACACACACACACACACACACACACACACACACACACCACACACACACACACACACACACACACACACACACACACACACACACACACACACACACACACACACACACACACACACACACACATACACACACACACACATATACCTATATATATATGTATATATATTATATATACATTATACATATATATATTATATATATATATATATATATATATATATATATATATATATATATTATATATATATATATATATATATATACGCCTCGCCTTACTTTTGTGTTCGTACAGGTCACTTAAAACTTGAAGTCGAAGTCCGATTAGCCCGACGGCCAAGTGGAGGAAGTTTGATGGGATGAAAAAAAAAAAGTTTTTGAGTTGTTCGTACGCACCGATGAGGGGGGAGGGGGGAGGGGAAGGGGGTTGGAATGGGCAGGATAGGAAGATTCGTTAATGGCGTGAGAGAGAGAGAGAGAGAGAGGAGAGAAGAGAGAGAAGGAGAGAGAGAGAGGAGAGAGGAGAGAGAGAGACGAGCGAGAGAGGAGAAGAGGAGACGAGAAAGAGAGAGAGAGATGAGAGAGAGAAGAGAGAGAGAGAGAGAGGAGAGAGAGGAGAGGAGAGAGAGAGAGAGAGAGAGAGAGAGAGAGAGAGAGAGGAGTGGAGAGAGAGAGAGAGAGAGAGAGAGACGATGAGAGATGAGAGAGATGAGAGAGAGGAGAGAGAGAGAGAGGACGAGAGAGACCGGACACACACACACACAGACACAGAGAAAGGAAAGAGAATAAGAAGGAGGGGCAGACCGCAAGGATAAGAGGACGACGACCAAGGGACATGGCGATGGCTGCTCCTCTCCTTGGTCCAAAATCCGGACGCTTTGAGGTCGACGATCTGATTCTCCTCGTCACTGAAGCTCCGCTATCCTCATTATCGCATCCTCTCTCTTCACGTTCTCCTCCTCAGTCCTCCCCGTATCCTCCCCACTCTTCTCTTGCTCCTCTTCACTCATCTCCTCCTCTCCATTCTTCCCTTTCTCTTCCTTCGGTTTTCTTCGTTTCCACTCTAGCTTTCTCATTCGTCTCTCATTTCTTGTCTTTGTACTCTCTGCTCTTCCCATTCTCCTCTCCTCTCCAATCTTCTCGTTCTCTTTCCCTTTCTTTTCCTTATTCACCTGTCCTTCCTAAACCCCTCCTCCTTTCTCCCTTTCTCTCCCCTTTCCTCCCTATCCTACCCAATAAAACAACGGGAAAAAATCCTTTAAAAAATCCTGACCCCGTGACCTTATCATATCACGACCTTTGACCTCCCACGCCCATTATCACTCATCCCCGCCCACTCTATCTAGGCGAGGGGAGATAGAGCTACTTCACTGCATTCACGGGGTCACGGGGATTGCACAGAGCCACATATACTATGTTGGATGGGCGAGGGGGCTCATGCTTAAGCCTTGCAACACATGGTGCAACATACGAGCAGCAACAACATGTACTGCAACAGGAGAAGGTATTAGGTTTATTTTAGGCCAAGCGGATCGAACGGAAGTGTGGGTGGAAGTAGTGAAAATGTGTGGTACAAGAAAGGTTGCATAGATAACTGCGTCCCTCATCCCCTCTCTGTGTCTGTTTGTCTGTCTGTCTGTCTGTCTCTCTCTCTCTCTCTCTCTCTTTCACTCTCACACTCTCCCTCTCTCCGTCTCACTCTCATTCTCTCTCTCTTTCTAAATATACACGGACACAGACGACATATATTATATATATATATATATATAATGGACCATAACTCAACACGGAACAATACCATTAAGCCAAGGACTGTTGCGGTGTAAATCATTTTCAAACTCTATACGAATATGCCGAAACAACAGATGCATAAATCCACACATACATACATACATATACATACATACAAACATACATACACACACACACACACACATCACATCACAACTGATGATATTTATATTAACAAGGTTAGTTATCATAATGTATCATTGCTAATTGAATACGAAAAACTTTAAAACAGTATTCAAACAGTGTTTAAAGCAGTATTTTTCCGATTATATAAAAAAAACTTTTACACTTTCCTTTTTATATAAATCACAGGGGAAAAATATTCAATCAGAACAAAAGTCTGGCACTGATTTAGGGAAGGTGAAGGGGGAGGTAGATGTGTCTGTCGCGTCTAAGGGACGAAGCAAAATCTTTAATTCTAATTGCATCCGTCTCTCTGCCATCCTCCTTAATCAGAATTATCACTGCCATTAGTGCAGTGTCATTTTTGCATATTACACAACCTACTAAGCTTGTAAACAAGCACACACACACACACACACACATACATAAAAGCCTCCCTCCTACCTGCGGCACCCACCCTTCCATCCTCCCTACCCAAGCTACCCCTCCCCAAGGTCTATATAAGTATATAGACCTTGCCCCTCCCTACCCTCTTACCACTACCCACCCCAAACACCCCTCCCTCCTATTCCTTTCATCCTTCCCTCCAACTCCTTTTCTCAGACCCACTCCCCCAACCCCTTCCTCCCACCCCTCCCTTGTCCTCCTACCCCCCCCTCCCCCTTCCCACCCCTCCCTACTCCTCCCTCCCCACCTTCCCACTCTCCTTGCCCTCCTCCCACCCCTCCCTCAGTCAAAGGAATCCCTGCGCAAACAGCGGCGACCTATTCAGGAGGAGCCGAACGTGACATCGGGCGGCGAAGGAGGAGGACCCGGAGGACGCATCGCCGATGGAGAGTGCAGCTGCTTGGGGGAGGGGGGGGAGGTAGGAGGGTGGAATGGGGAAAGGAAAGGAAGGGAGGAAGGAAGGAAGCAGGACGGGAGGAAAACACACATAGACACAGACAGACACACACACACAAACACACACACCCCACACGCAACAAACAGACAACCACACGACCCAATCACACATCTTCCAGCCTAACTTTTCTTCATCACGCTCCCCTTACCCTCTTCCCCTCTCCTCCCTCTCATTCCTCGCTCCCTCTCCCCCCTCCCCCTCCCTAGCCCTCCCTCCCACCCTCCTTCCCCGGTGAATGAAAGCCCTTGCGCAAACACCGGCGCCTCACATCCATTCAAGGGCGGAAGCCATTCGTAGCATCGAGGTTCCCGAAGATTCTCGAAGGAACCAGTCCAAGATGAGCATTCCGGTGGCCGCGGGTGTGCGGAGAGGGGGGGGGGAAGGTAAAAAAGTGAGAGGAGAAGAAAGAAAGGTAAGAGATATAAAAAAAATGAGAAAAGAGAGGGAAGGAAGGTGAGAGATCCAAAAAGGAGTGCGAAAAGCCGCGAAGAAATTCAAGAAAAGGAAAATGTACCATCTCTCTCTCTGTCTCTGTCTCAAAAAACATGGTAACTATCAATACCCTTCACCTAGTTTCTAGCCTATCAGAGCAGGGTATGCAAGTGTCACTATACTGGATACCCTCTCATATAGGAATAACAACCGGTGACGAGGTAGACCAGTTAGCAAAACTAGCACTTTCCCAAGAAGAACCATATTACCGCTATCTGCCATTCAAATGAAAATGCGTGTTATCAGCTGTCTTCGAGATCGAGGTCCAGGTATGGGCCACCGAAAAAATGAAGAAAAGTGGTCATGGTACCATCTGGCATTATGAGAGTATTGTAGGTACATATGATGTTGACAAACCATATAAAGTCAATGATGGACTGGCTCGGAGACAGCAGGTTACGCTAACCAGGCTACGCATAGGATGTCAATACACTATACATTATGAACAGGATGCAATTTAAGAGGCAAGGCCAGTTACGTATCACCAATGCAAAATGTGCAAGGCGCCAAAGTGGCATAATCTTACACATTACTTTGTTGTTGGAAAACTGCATCCTATCGATCAAATAACACTGTCCAAAGACCAGCACTTATTGATTATATTAATTTTATCATAGACACTGGTCTTGTTTTCGATATGATTAGGGATATAAGTTTTTTTTTTAATTTATTATTTTTTTTTACCAACTAGATGATTTGTGAATAATATAAGCCCTTCAGGCATGTAGAACTAGTGTTTGATTAACAGCTCTTTACATAAATATAGGCACAGCCAGTTTGGATAGATGCTATAGCATCTTACCCTGGCTTTTGATAGGGCACGTGCACCGTTCTCTTAATAAATTCTATCAAATCAAAAAAATCAAATCAAATCTCTCTCTCTCTTTCCATTCTGGACTCTCTCTCTCTCTCTCTTCTCTCATCTCTCTCTCTCTCTCTCTCTCTCTCTCTCTCTCTCTCTCTCTCTTCTCTCTCTCTCTTCTCTCTGTTTCCTACTCACTCCCTCCCTCTCACCCTCCGTCCCCCTCTCCCTCCCTCTCCCTGCCTCTCTTCCTTCCTTCCTTAAGGAGATGAAATCAAGTTGTCGATGCCGATCGTGATTGAATATCGACCTCGAGATGTCGATGGCCGTCGCTCCACGTGCAGGCCGGGGTTCTCACTCGGAGAGGGAAGGGAGGGAAGAGGAGGGAGAGGAACGGGGAGGGGAGGGAGGGTGATGGAGGGGAAGGGAGGGAGGGAGAGGTGGTAGATGGATGGAAGGAAGGGAGGGAGGGTGATGGTGGAAGGGACGGGGAAGAGTGGGCTGGATAAGTAGGGGGGGGGGGGTGAGGGAGATAAGTGAGTATTAGGGAGAAGAGAGAGGGAAGGAAGGGAGGGCGGAATATGTGAGTGTATAGAAGAGAATGTTAAAGCGTAATAAGAGGGAGGATGAAGAGGAGAAGTAGAGGGTGAAGGGAGGGATGGAAAGTGGGTGGGATAAATAATGCGAACAAAGGGATAGGAGGGAAGATAAGGGTAAAGAAGGGAATAAACTTGGGAAGGATAAGTGGGTGAAAAGGGGTAGAGAAAGTAGGATACGGAAGGAGATAAATAGACAGACAAACAGACACACCAATTGGCAGACAGATAGATAAGAGAGGGATAAATAGGGGATAATTGATAAAAATAAAGAGCGAAAGTGAAATAAATAAATACAAAATAATAAATAAATAAATGAATAAATGAAGTTTATACACACATACATACACACACATATATACATATATATAAACATATTAAAAAGAAAAAAAGAAAGAAAAAAAAGAAATAGAAAAAAAGAAAAAGAAAAAGAAAAGAAAAAAAAATATATATATGTGTGTGTGTGTGTGTGTGTGTGTGTGTGTGTGTGTGTGTGTGTGTGTGTGTGTGTGTGTGTGTGTGTGTGTGGTGTGTGTGTATAAACATAAATGTACATTATATATATATATATATATATATATATATATATATATATATATACATGTACATTTATGTTTATACATATGTATACATATATATATATATATATATATATATAATATATATACATATATATTTATATATGTAATATATATACATATATATACATAATATATATATATATATATATATATATATATATATTTTATAATATGTATAATATATACATATATATATATATGCATATATATATATATATATATATATATATATATATATATATTATATATATATATATATATGTATACATATGTATAAACATAAATGTACATGTATATATATATACATATATAAATATATATATATATATATATATATATATATATATATATGTATATATGTATATATAATACATATATAAATATACTATGTATATATATATATGTATACATATGTATATAAACATAAAATGTACAATGTAATATATTTATTATTATATATATTAAATATATTTTATTAATATACATATATATATATTATATATATATTATTAATATATTATACTATACATATATTAAATGTATATAATATGAATATTATATAAACAATTACATATTTATATTATATCTTATATATATACTATATATATTATTATATAATAATAATTAATATATGCATATATATTTTAAATATAATTGTTATATTATATATGTGTATTATTATATATTCTTTTATACAATTATATATATATACTATATATATAATTATATTAATAATATTATATATATATATTTAATAGTATATAATTATATATTTTATAATGTAATTTATTTACTAATATGTTTATTTAATATATAATAATAAAAAAGAAAAATCAAATTCATTACTCTATATCTGCCTACTGTATATGCTGCTAATGTACCCTCCTACTATGTATAAACCATTAAAATGTACATGTCTATCATAGCGCTAGTACTATATAACTATATACTACTATATCTACCTATTATAATATATATATACCGTATACACTCTATATACTACCCTAACTACCTACTACTAATATATATACTATGCATACCACGTATCCACACTACATAACAT